TTTTTTTGTTGAGAAGAAGCTTCTTCCACCATTTTTTGCGCGGCCTCAACGTCCTCCGAGCTCGAAACGATGACATGGAGCTCAGGACGGGCAGCTTCAGCCTCTTTTTCAACCTCGCGGGCTGGAGAATGAATAGCAACCTCCAACTCGGTATTTGTCTCGGGGGGTAACTCAATCGTGGGCTCAACAACAGGGGCCGAAACTGCAGCTATAGCTGGTGTGCCCGACGTGACTCCAACGTCGTCACCTGCCGCGGCCCGGCCTGAAACTGCTTTCTTCTTCAAGTTAGCCAGAAAATTCATGCGTCCCATCTCGGTATCTTTCACTGAAAATCTACGGCGATAGTCTTTTGCTTCCCGAATCGATTGGAATCCAAAAAATCCTAACAACGGATAATAAACTGAAGAAAGAAAGCAAACCATCAAGACCATATTAGTGTTTGATAAATCTGTTAAACCCAAGGCCATAAATTAAATTGACGCTGTAAGAACTCACCGGGTTCAAAATCAGGGATTGCCTTTTTGGGTCCTAGTTTCACTTCGGCAAGCTTGGCGTTCCTTGTCAGCAGATTCCACTTGCGATCCGCTATACTAAGTTTCGCGATCTCCTCAAGTTTTTCTCTAAACTCCCCGCTTAATTTCGGTTCCCTCTTTCTTTTTGCTACAAATATGAAAAGGTCCGACCTGTTAGCGAAAGAAAAACAACCTGTCAGGAAATTCTGAACGAAAGAAAAGAACTTACGGAAAGAAGAGACAACTCGGGTTGGGACAGTCATCCCGTCAATTGGGGCCTCAAGCCGGAAGTCGGGAGACTGCCAATCTCCACCAACCCACAACCACTCGTCCTGAAAACCATGAAGAGTTTCAGGTATCCCAGTAACCAGTTGTCCTATCTTCAATTCGTATTGCGGCCTCGCCGCACAGAAAAAGCAACCCGTCGGAGGAACACCATCTCGCTCCCTACTCCTTTTAAAGAAAAGAATGCTTCTCATTTCGTCGATGGTAGGGAAGGGGACTTTCTTTTGTGCCAAAAGGACCATGATCCCAATAATCTTCTTCCAACTATTGGGAGTAATCTGACTGAGACTAAGACCCCAGTCGCGCAAATAATCAGTTATGACGTTGTCTAGGGGAAACCTCAAACCCGACTTCAAACTCTCGGCAAAAATCCCTATACAACCCGGAGGAGGACAATGAATTCTTTCCCCCGGATAAGGAGCGAAGATCCTCACCGAGGTAGGGATTCTTACCGACTCACGAAGGAGAACCACGTCGGCGTCGGTCATGGTGCTAGGTTCCCCCAAAAACATAACATCTTCGTCGGGCCATTGACGGGCGGGACGATTCCAGTAACCCGACCTCACGGGAATATCCCGTTCCACCTCGGCGTCTCCCTCAATATCGCGTTTGCGAATGTCCAGGCGTTCCACAAAAACAGGGTCCCACCGGTAGTAATCCCCCATTAACTCCATCAATTCCTCATCCAACCTCAAGTCCGATACAGTTCGACTGCTACTGCCCGGACCGACATTCTCACCACTCATCACCATGATTAAAACCCAGAAAAACGATATGAAGGAGTTATAAAGCGAAAAGAAGAAATTAGGGCTTACCGAAAAGTGAAGAAAAATCTCAAAGGTTTCGAGATTTGCTGAGAATACGACGAGGAAGGTGAAAGGGAAAAGGCGAAATATGCAAAAGATAGTTTGAGAAAGCAGTTGCTTAAATAAAGATTTGGTGAATCGAAACCATGAATTTATCTGTATATATATACTCTCGCGGTTTTCTAACCGTTGAAGATGGAGAGGCGCGTGGTTGAATGACGCGTCGATTCAGAGAAATGCCCCCTTATGGTGACATGACGTTCAGATACAATCTCGTACGTACGCGTGTCCCAAAACCGCCAACGTTAATTTCCGGAAATTTCGGTACGTGCTTATTATGAAGAGTAGTGGAGATACCACGTTTGCGACCTTTCGTAAACCGCACAATAAACTCCTCACAGTACACAACGACTTTGGTGAAGGGACCAAACTATTTGATTCTTGTCTAAGGAAATTAACTCGGCATAAACTCACGAAAGAGACCTTTAGGTCAGCTCGAGGATAAGAAGCAATTGGATGGAAAATGTCATTAAAAAGTATGCATAATTTGCATACTTCTTAATGCCAGGGGCCTCTATGTTGATATCAAGGTAAGAATACCTCGATGTTACAATGCAATTAAAGAAATCGCGAAGATTAATGCAAGAACTAAATTCGGGACGACGTCAAGCAGTACGTTCTACATCTCGGTAACCTCACCTCGGTACCCATTAATGATCGCGGATATTTGGAGGTCATCGACACAAGTCGGGAGAAACCTCGAAGAAGGCCAATTCGGTCAAAGAATTACTTATTAAGAAGTCGTAAAACGTCGGAAATCAATCAAGATACCGACATCGCAAGACAAGCCGACTTCGATCCGACAGATGTGACACTCGTCACACAAACAGAGGCGCGCCCATGCTAATCATTGCCTACAAGATTCTTCTACGTCATCGCCGCCCCTAAGATGTCAAATCTTCATTAAAACGGGAATGATTTGTCTAGGGAAGTGTGCCAAACATACCTATAAATAGTAGTTCCGAAAACGAGAGAAGGGTTCGAAAAACGATCATACACACTCATATATTCAACTCGGTAGTCCCCTTTGTAAACCGACTTAAAATACATTGAAAAACCGACCTCTTTGTACTAAGACCGACTTCAAAATATTCACTAAAAATCTCATTTTCAGCAATCTTTTCTGTTAATATTACATTGTTAACGTTGATCAAATCCGTTTATCAACA